ATGGTTCTGGCCACGCTTAACAGGCACCCTCCTTCCTGTGACGCCCCCGCCCCACCTGCCCCCGCCCCACGCACCTGTGCTCGGGTTGAGGTGGAACCTCCCATCCGCGTTCCCCGCACGCAGGGCGTAGCTGACGCGCCCGTTCTCTCCCAGGTCGCTGTCCCGCGCCAGCACCTGCAGAGCCAGGAAGCCGGTGGGCTGGTCCTCCGGAAGGTCGACCCCGGCCGGGGAGAGGAACTCCGGGACGTTGTCGTTCTCGTCCATGACAAAGACGTGCGCGGTGAGGGCAGCTGAGCGGCGCTGGCTGACGTTGCGCGCCTGGTCGGTGGCCTGCACCACCAGCAGGTGGGCCGCCTGGGTCTCCCGGTCCAGCGGGCTGCGCAGGCTCAGTTCCCCGCTGCGCGCGTCCAGCTGGAAGGGGGAGGGCCCCGCCTCCGGGGGCAGGAGGCTGTAGCTCAGCTGGCTATTCGGGCCCGGCCCGTCGCCATCCAGGGCCTGGAAGGTGAAGAGGGACGTGCCCGAGGGGGCGCTCTCCGAGACCACCACCGTCACGGGGTCTTGGGCCCAGGTGGGCGCGTGGTCGTTGCTGTCCTGCACGTGGATCTCCACCAGCACCAGGCGCTGGCTGGGGTAGCCGCGCAACGTGTCTTCCACGCTCACTTGCAGGGTGTGCCGGGACCCCGACTCATAGTCCAGCTCTTGGGCCGCGTAGATGTCCCCTGTGGCCGCGTCCACCACAAAGGCGCTGTCTCCGCTCCCGCCTCCCACCAGCATGTAGGTCACCTGCCCGTGGGGTAGCGGCTCCGGGGAAGCCACCGAGCCAATGATGGAGCCGGGCTGCAGCCCCTCCATGGGATAGAGAGTCAGGACCGTGGTGTCCGGCCGGGGAAGCATGCGGGCGGTGGACACCACCTGTGGAAAGCGAGAAACGGGACGCGACTGTTCAGGCTATTGTTTCCTTTCAACAGAACTTCAGAGGCAGGATCCAATTAACCCATTAACAAATTCAAGACAATATACCCGTATACCGCTCCATCCCCCCCCCCACACATCCCTTAGCCGGGGCCTGGGGATCCCTAACTCACTGGAGGAGCCGGTCTGCCCCCCAGACACACACACACACCCGGGCCTTAATGCCAGCCACGGCCGGTACCTGGATGCGCACGGCTGCCGTCGTGCTTCGGGGACTGGGGCCTCGGTCACTTGCCGTTGCCGTGAAGGTGTATTCGCCGCAGTCTGCCTGGCGCAATCTGGTGGCCGTGCGCAACTCCCCCGTGGCCACGTGCAGGGAGAAGCGCTCTGCCCACGCACCTGCCGGGAGAGGGAGAAAAGCAGTCTCAGGAAGAGGCCCGGGCACGACACTCACGGGGCGATCCTGCACCGGTCACGCCCTCTCTAACCCTAACCTACCTCACAGGGCTGTTGTCAGGATCAGACAGAAGAATGGAGAACTGGGTTGCCAGGTCTTACCTGGCTGCTGGCGTGGGGGGGGCAGTCTCACTCCGGGAGTCTTCTGGCGCGTGTGGGTGGGATGATGATGTCACCCATCACACCGGGCACGTCGGGTGGGATGCTCTAGCATTTGGGCAAAATACTCTATGGTCATCACAGAGCTTTTGCCCAAATGCTAGAGTGTGCCCGACGGGATGACATCACCTCTGGGTGACATTATTGTGAGAGAGGGGGCTCCTTGGGGGGCAGGGCTCCCCCCCGACGGCCAGTTGGTCGGCAGCGGATTGGGGCCCCTGAAATCGGGGGGGGGGACCCGCCCCCGCCCCCATCGGGGTGTGTGTGTGGGGGGGCAACCCCAATGGAGAGTGTGGCGTTCTAGGGGCGAAGGCCTGAGCAAACGTTGCCGTGCGGGGGGGGGCTGGGAGGGGCCGTTTTGCGGGGGTTCCGGGTCTGCCTGAAAGGCCAGTTTCAGGGGAGGGGGGTGCGGGGGGAACTAGCCCGCGGAGACCCTCAGGGCTTCCTCTAGTCCCTCCTGCCCTTCGGCATCTACCGGAAACCACCGGGCGAGACCACCTGGAGACGAGGTCATCAGCTGCAGCCTCTCCTGGGCGGACGGGTCTGGCCACTGCGGTGCGCGCCCACATAAACACCTAGATTCAGCTACCGCAATGTGTGCTGCGCAGGGCTGCCCTTGAAAAGCGTTCAGAACTTTCAGTCCGTACACAACGTGGGGGAGCCAGAAGGCTGACTGGGATGGGTCTTGAGGCCAGGTTACGCCACTGGCTCCCCCCGCCCCGTCTCTTCCTGGGCCCAACTCCAGGTGACCCTGTCGACACCTTTAAAGCCCTGTGCAGGTTGGGCCTTCTCCTGCACGAACCCAGCGGACTACCCCGGGTGCCCTCCGAGGTCCTGCTTTGGGTCTCCCAGCCTCCTCAGGCCAGGCGGGTGGCAACTCAAAGAGAGGGCCTCCTAGGGTGCCACACCCAAATTGCCCCCTCCCCTCCCCAGGGTCAGTCGTCCGTATTTTAACATTCTGTATTCTAACGTGCTATGGTTATGCTGACTCGATGCCGTAATAAATACAAAACCTATTGAGGCAGACTCAGCACGGTTTCTGTAAGGGAAGATCTTGTCTCACTAACCTGTTAGTGTTCTTTGAGGGGGTGAACAAACATGTGGACAAGGGGGATCCAATAGATATTATTTACCTTGACTTCCAGAAAGCTTTTGATAAAGTTCCTCATCAAAGGCTCCTAAGTAAGCTCAAAAATCATGGGATAGAAGGACAAGTCCTTTTATGGATCAAAAACTGGCTAGTTCATAGAAAACAGAGAGTGAGTGTAGGTGGGCAATTTTCTCAGTGGAGGGTGGTAAGCAGTGGGGTACCGCAGGGATCAGTACTTGGTCCACTGCTTTTTAACTTGTTCATTAATGATTTGGAGATGGGAGTAAGCAGTGAAGTGGCTAAATTTGCGGATGATACAAAGTTGTTCAGGGTGGTGAAAACCAGTGAGGATTGTGAGGCACTCCAAGGGGATCTGTCAAGGATGGGCGAGTGGGCGTCAACATGGCAAATGGGGTTCAATGTGGCCAAGTGCAAGGTGATGCACATTGGAGCCAAAAATCCTAAATATAAATACACATTGATGGGGTCTGAACTGGCAGAGACTGAGCAAGAGAGAGATCTTGGAGTTGTAGTGGATAACTCACTGAAAATGTCGAGACAGTGGGTGACTGCAATAAAGAAGGCCAATGCTATGCTGGGGATTATTAGGAAGGGTATTGAAAACAGATCAGCCAATATAATAATGCCCCTATATAAATCAATGGTGAGACCTCATTTGGAATACTGTGTGCAGTTCTGGGCACCACACCTTAAAAAGGATATTATAGCTTTGGAAAAAGTGCAGAAAAGGGCAACTCGAATGATAAAAGGGTTGGAACACTTTCCCTATGAGGAAAGGTTAAAGCGCTTAGGGCTCTTTAGCTTGGAGAAAAGACGACTGAGGGGTGACATGATCGAGGTTTATAAGATTATGCATGGGAAAGAGCAGGTAAAGAAAGAGGTACTTTTCTCCCTTTCTCACAATACAAGAACCCGTGGGCACTCCATGAAACTGCAGAGCGGTCGGGTTAGAACGGATAAAAGGAAGTACTTCTTCACCCAAAGAGTGATTAACACATGGAATTCACTGCCACAGGAAGTGGTGGGTGCTACAAGCATGGACGGCTTCAAAAGGGAATTAGATAAGCATATGGAGCAGAGGTCCATCAGTGGCTATTAGCCACAGGGTATAGCTAGGGGCTCTGGGGCAAGTGATGCTCCGTCTTCTTGGTGCTTGGGGGGGGGGGGTCAACAGGGGGAGGGCTTCTAATGTCCTGGCCCCACTGCTGGACCTCCTGATCGCACTGGTATTTCTGGCCACTGTGTGACACAGAGTGTTGGACTGGATGGGCCTTTGGCCTGATCCAACATTGGCGTCTCTTATGTTCTTATGTTCTTATCTATCTATCTCACTTGGCACTACCTAGATGGGCTCTCCTTCCTGTCCTATGTTTTAATTACTTGTTTTTTTATAATATATAGGTTTTAATTTTGGCTTTAACTGATTTTATATCATCATCATCATCATAAAAAAAATTAGATTTGCAGTTTTATAACATTCCGCACTCCCTGTGTCAGCCCACCGTTGCATCCACCAGTCCTCAGAGGGACTCACACTTGATTCCTCTCTTCTGTTTTATCCCCACAACAACCTTGTGAGGTAGATTAAGACACGCCTGTCATACACAACACAGTCACACAAGCAGCAGCAGAAGAGCAGCCCTGCTGGATCAGTCTAGTAGTCTGTCCATTTCAGCACTCTTTTGTCCCTGGTCAGCCACTCGGCCCGGAGGGCCCACAGGAGGAGAGGGTGCCTCCTGGCTCCTGGCGTGGCTTCTGGACCCACTGACCACCCAGAAGAGCATCGTGCCCGAGTGGTGATTTGAGCCCCCTGGACGGGCAGTCCAACGCTCCAGCCACCAGCTCCCGTGTCCCACCGCCGAAGGTGTCGGCATACAGTCAAGTATGAGACAAGATGTCAGCCTATGAAGGTAATTGGTGGAGATCATTCTGATCTGGGTGACAGCTAGTTGTATCATGTGATCATGTCACCAGGCAGAGATTGCATCTCTCTTGCATCAGCTAGTATGCTGTAACCATGAGTCAGCACTGTTCACTGATTGGTGCTGACACTGTATATAAGTCTATATAGAACTTGTAGAGGTGTTCACTCTGTGAATGCCTTGCAGCGGAGCACTCTGCCGGATTGTGTAGTGAGTTGGAGTTGGAGAGTGCCTGTATGAACTGTGTAAAAAGCTGTGTAAATAAATCCACTATAAATAGTCAGCACTATCAACGGAGTTCGTGTGATTACTACGCTTCATACGCCAACAGAAGGAGCCGCCTGAAGCTCTGGGGGGAGTTCATCAGGGGCCCCACCCCCCCATGCGGGCTCGGCGGGGCTCAGTTACCTGCCAGCGAGTAGAAGACGGTTCCGTTTTCGCCCTCATCGGGGTCCTTGGCCTGCAAGGAGGCCACCAGCAGCCCCGCCGGCTTCTCCTCCAGAACCTGCCACAAAGACAGCCGGTGGGAGCAGCCCGAGGAGGGGGGGGCAGCCGAGGCCCTCCAGCGCCCCCAGCTTCTCCTCAGACGGCACCTTGCCTCATGCGGTCCAGACACTGGGGGCAAGAAGAGCCGCAGAGTGCCCCCCCCACCCACACAGCCCTCTTCAGAGGCCTTCTCTCCGCTCCACGCCCCTCTTGAGCCTCGCGCAGGGCCTCCGCTCCAGAGGCGCCCGGGGGGGGGTCCCCTTTCTCCCGCACAGGCACCGAGTCTCCCCGCCCTGACCCACTCCCTTGGCCCCCGCCCCGCCCCTCCGCTATCTTGCCCGGGACCAGCCCAACCTGCAGAAGCAGCTCACGGCCCTCGGCCACGTGCAAGAAGGTGGGCGCGTTGTCGTTCTCGTCCAGGACAGTGATGTAGACGGTGCCCGTGGCGCTGCGTGGCGGGGTGCCCCCATCCTGGACGAGGACTTGCAGCTGGTGGGTGGCTTGCTGCTCCCTGTCCAGGCCCTGCCTGCAGCTCAGCTCCCCTGCAGAACACGCGCGTCCAGCTCAGCTGACAAGAGGGCCGCCTGCGCAGAGGCCGGCTTCCTCCCGAGCTGGGGCAGAGGGCCCCCCCCCGCACCCACGAGCCCCCCCCCGACCTGAGGTTTCTCACCCGTCTGCGAGTGGATCAAGAAGTTGCCCTCGTGTGGGACCAGGCGGTAGGAGAGGCGGCTGTTCTGCCCGGCGTCCCGGTCGCTGGCCATCACACGGCCCACGCTGCTGCCAGCAGGCTGGTTCTCGGCCACCGTGAAGAAGTAGCGCTCCTCGCTGAGCCGAGGGCCGTTGTCGTTCTCATCCGTGACGGTGACGCGGACGGTGGTGGTGCCCGTCTGGCGCCCCTCGCCCTCTCCGGCCACAGCCAGGACGGTCAGCACGTACAGCTCCTGCACCTCCCGGTCCAGCGTGCTGCGCACGTTCACCCACCCCGTGTCCGGCACTATGCCGAAGCTGGCAGCATCTCCGTCGGCACGCAGGTGATAGGTGAGGGGTGCCTGGGAGTCCCGTGCCAACGCGCGCACTTGCAGGAAAGGCGTGCCCACAGGCACCCCCTCGCGCACCTCCACGCGGTAAGTGAGCGTGTCAAAGACTGGCCCGTGCTCATCCTCCGCCTGCACGTGCACCAGCAGCGTGAACGTGGCACTGAGCCGTGGGACCCCACCGTCCTGCGCCAGAATGACCAGCCGGTAGGGAGTGCCCGTTTCTCGCTGCAAGGCCCCCACGAGCCACACCTTGCCTGAGAAAGGCTCCACCGTGAACGCGCCGGGCCCCCCGGGGGCCAGCTCAAAGTGCACCTGCCCGTTGGCGCCACTGTCGCGGTCCTCCGCGTGCACCGTGTAGACGACCGTGCCCGGTGCCACCCCCTCTGGCAGCAGCACGGAGTCAGACGGGACTGGGAAGGCGGGGGCGTTGTCGTTCACGTCGGCCACGCTGACCTGCACCCGGGCACTGCTGTAGGCCGGCGGGGAGCCGCTGCGGGCCTGCACCTCCAGGGACACGGCCGCCTGCGCCTCGTGGTCCAGGGCCAAGCGCGTGTGCAGCTCTCCTGAGGCTGGGTCGATGGAGAAGTAGCCGTGCGGGTCTCCCGAGGAGATGGAGTAGAACACGCTGTCCGAGTGGCCTGGAAGCAAAGACAAGCCCAGCCCGCGTGAGCACCCAGCAGGGGCACGAGGATCCTGAGGGGGACCCCAGAGCCGACTGGAGCGGAGGAGCATTCACCGCTGGAGCACCGAGACACACCACATTCGTGTTGGGAGTTAGTGCTGCTGACCCCTTGGGTTTATTGGCTTTCTTTTGACAGTTTTAGATCTCGAGTTGGTAAGGGCTGCCTTAGATATGGGGGACGCTCTTGTAAGCCAGTGGAGCTGGGTGGATCAAATGAAACCAAAATCAGGCCGGCAGCAGCCGGCTCCGTCTTTCTTCATGCACGCCTCCCATGAAGGAAATCCCACAACTATCCTAAGTCCCCTGCTGGAATGAGCGGTGTGCTCGTGCCCCACCGTGCTCGGCTACCTCTTAGGATGAGCCCCATCGGCCGTAGTTTTAGAAGGCTCCTTGGGATATGGCTGATAGTAGTTCCCTGCTTCTCTTCCCGGCCACACTAAACTAACCGAGGCCCAAACAGAATGCATACTTCAGATCAGAGAGAGGTACCAGCAAGTCTAAAAGGAAGAAGTCATAAGAACATCAGAAGAGCCCTGCTGGATCTGACCAGTGAGGGTCCCTCCACTCCAGCATTTTGTCTCACACACATGTTAGTGACTCTAGTCAAGGAAGCCACAAAAGGCAAAAAAGTCCTCTTTTAAAAAGTGTCAGGTCTCCTGAGCAAGGGGGACAGAAAGCCGGTTCTGGCAAAACAAATGCAGGTTGACAAAAAGAGAATGTGCGGAATGGGTGGCCAAAAACATTCCTTCAGATATATCAGGAGCAGGAAAATCAGCCACGGAGGAGGTCGGGCCATTGGGTGACCAAGGAATAAGTAATAATTAATAATTATGGTATGGCCACTGTGTGTAGAATAGACAGGAGATCCAAAGATTGTCTGGCAGACAGACGTTCTAGCCCTTTTAGCGTTATGCACCACTAGGAGATGAGCTAGACTTGTTTTTAAGGCAAGAGATGTTTCAGAGGTGCAGAGGTCATTTCGGGGGGGATCGCGGGGAATCGCAGTTCCCCCGGGTGAGGCACAGGGGGGCGGGGCACACGACAAAGCCCCGCCCCCTGCTTCTGGCCGCCCCGCTTCCGGCCCTCATTCAGCCAGGAGGAGGCAAGAGAAGAGGGAGGGTAAGTTGCTTCCTCCCTGCCTCTCCCCACCCCTGCCTGCCTGGGGCCAGGGAGGTCCTTCGCGGGGCTTCCTTGCACTCCCGCCGGCCTTGCAGGTCCACCGCCAGGCCCCTCATGGGGCTCGGCAGTGGAGCTGCAAGGCCGGCAGCCGGGACCGTTGGGGGCGGGATGTGTGGCCTTATGACACACTTCCAGGGATGTCAGGGGGTGTGGCCTTATGACACACTTCCGGGGATGTCAGGGGGTGTGCCATATGCTAATGAGTTATGCTAATGAGTTCCCCTAGCTCATTTTCTACGAAACGACCCCTGCAGAGGTGGCTTGCCGTCGCCTGCCTCTGGTATCCCTTGGAGGCTACCCGTCCAAATACTAGCCAGGGCCGACCCTGCTGAGCTTCCGAGATCTGGCTGGGCTGCCTCTAAAACAGGCCTCCGTGCTGTACAGCCGCGTGCACCACCTCCCCGTTTCCAGCAGGTGTGGATTAAGGGGTTGGAGCACCATTCCCATCAGGGAAGACTGGAGGGTCTGGAGAAAAGAGGCTCTGGGGAAACATGACGGAGGTTTATAAAATGGAGCACGGGCTGGAGAAAGTGGATAAAGGGAGGTTTCCCTCCTTCTCCATGGTGTGGAAAGAGAACTTACCCATTCAGAGACTGTCGGTCTCTGAATCCCAGAGCTAGAACCAGCAACGGGGAGGGACTATGACTCTAAGGCTCAATAATTTGGGTCTCTATGGCAACCACTTGGCCGCTGTGTGAGACGGGAGGCTGGACTGGAGGGACCCTCCCTGGTCTGACCCAGCAGGGCTCTTCTGGTGTCCTTCTCAGGGGAAGGCCTCGGCCTCTCTGCCCTGTTGCTGGCCCTCCAGAGGGACTGGCTGGCCCCTGTGGGAGACGGGAGGCTGGACTAGATGGACCCTCCCTGGTCTGATCCAACAGGGCTCTTCTGAGGTTCTTCTCAGGAGAAGGCCTCGGCCTCTCTGCCCTGTTGCTGGCCCTCCAGAGGGACTGGCTGGCCCCTGTGGGAGACGGGAGGCTGGACTAGATGGACCCTCCCTGGTCTGATCCAACAGGGCTCTTCTGAGGTTCTTCTCAGGAGAAGGCCTCGGCCTCTCTGCCCTGTTGCTGGCCCTCCAGAGGGACTGGCTGGCCCCTGTGGGAGACGGGAGGCTGGACTAGATGGACCCTCCCTGGTCTGATCCAACAGGGCTCTTCTGAGGTTCTTCTCAGGAGAAGGCCTCGGCCTCTCTGCCCTGTTGCTGGCCCTCCAGAGGGACTGGCTGGCCCCTGTGGGAGACGGGAGGCTGGACTAGATGGACCCTCCCTGGTCTGATCCAACAGGGCTCTTCTGAGGTTCTTCTCAGGAGAAGGCCTCGGCCTCTCTGCCCTGTTGCTGGCCCTCCAGAGGGACTGGCTGGCCCCTGTGGGAGACGGGAGGCTGGACTAGATGGACCCTCCCTGGTCTGATCCAACAGGGCTCTTCTGAGGTTCTTCTCAGGAGAAGGCCTCGGCCTCTCTGCCCTGTTGCTGGCCCTCCAGAGGGACTGGCTGGCCCCTGTGGGAGACGGGAGGCTGGACTAGATGGACCCTCCCTGGTCTGATCCAACAGGGCTCTTCTGAGGTTCTTCTCAGGAGAAGGCCTCGGCCTCTCTGCCCTGTTGCTGGCCCTCCAGAGGGACTGGCTGGCCCCTGTGGGAGACGGGAGGCTGGACTAGATGGACCCTCCCTGGTCTGATCCAACAGGGCTCTTCTGAGGTTCTTCTCAGGAGAAGGCCTCGGCCTCTCTGCCCTGTTGCTGGCCCTCCAGAGGGACTGGCTGGCCCCTGTGGGAGACGGGAGGCTGGACTAGATGGACCCTCCCTGGTCTGATCCAACAGGGCTCTTCTGAGGTTCTTCTCAGGAGAAGGCCTCGGCCTCTCTGCCCTGTTGCTGGCCCTCCAGAGGGACTGGCTGGCCCCTGTGGGAGACGGGAGGCTGGACTAGATGGACCCTCCCTGGTCTGATCCAACAGGGCTCTTCTGAGGTTCTTCTCAGGAGAAGGCCTCGGCCTCTCTGCCCTGTTGCTGGCCCTCCAGAGGGACTGGCTGGCCACTGTGTGAGACGGGAGGCTGGTCTGGAGGGACCCCCTCTGGTCTGACCCAGTAGGACTCTTCTAGTGTCCTTATCAGGGGAAGGCCTCGGCCTCTCTGCCCCGTTGCTGGCCCTCCAGAGGGACTGGCTGGCCCCTGTGTGAGACGGGAGGCTGGACTGGAGGGACCCTCCCTGGTCTGACCCAGCAGGGCTCTCCTGAGGTTCTTCTCAGGGGAAGGCCTCGGCCTCTATGGCCTGTTGCTGGCCCTCCAGAGGGACTGGCTCTTCTCGCAGGGCTCTTCTGGGGTTCTATGGGCTTTATCCGTTCCACAGAGACCTCTATTGCTCTGTCACAGGCTGAGGAGGCCCCTGTGTCCTCCCGCTCTGCCCAGGCCTACCCAGGGTGTGCCAGAAAGACTGTCTAGTGGAAAGAGTTCCACCACTCTGGGGATCCCCTAGAATCACAGCCGGTCTCCAGACTTGAGAGATGAGTCCCCCCCCCCCCCCCCCCAGAGGAAATGGCTGCTTGGGAGGTCGGCCTGCAGGGCTAGGGTTGCCAAGTCCAAAATTATTTACCGGGCGGGAGTCCCGCGCCGTCCTGGGAGTCCCTAACCCAGAAGTGACGTCATTGCATTGGCAGGTTGGGGGCGGGGCCACTAGGATTTGAGGGGGAACCATAGAGTATTTATTTATTTTATTTATTTAATTTCATTTATATCCCGCCCTCCCCGCATGCGGACTCCCTCGAATCATAGAGCGTCCCGCCCCCAATGTGATCATGTCACCTCTGGGTGACGTCATCACGCTGGGGAGGTGTGCCGGAAGGGGGTGGAGTTCCCCCCCTCCGGGGCCCGATTTGCTGGCGTCAGGGAGCGGGCCTCTCGGGCAGGGTTTTACCCGGCCCCCCGGGGGGACTTGGCAAGCCTATGTGGGGCACTGTGCCCCACTGAGGCCCCCGCCCTCCCTTGGCCGGGCCTCCGGATCTTGAGGAGTCCCCCAGCCTGGAGCCACCCCCCCCTGCCGGTGGCCCAGAGGGACCCTACCGCCACCCTACCGCCACCCACATCACGGCCGAGCCCCCTTCCCTGAGGGAGCGCCCCCTGGGCAGGCCGACCTATGCAGGGAGAAGAAAGGGGACGGAGGAGGGGGTGGTCTCCGTGGCTCAGGGCTCTGCTTCGGTCACTGGAACCCAACGGGAAGGGAAGGCGGATCCGGTTTCCCAGGCAGGAAGGAGGGGCACGGAGGAACACAGGGCCCCCCCCGGGGGGGGTGAGGGGACCAGTGGGGGGGCCGAGAGTGAGGGGAATCCAGGTGGGTCTCGTGGAGTTCGTTGAGAGCCCCACCACCGTTCCTCCCACAATGCCGAGGCCAGCTGCCGGGAACGTTGGCCCTTTGCTCTGGGCTGGAGCAGAGGAAGCCGCACCTGGGACCCGACTAGGTATGCCTTTGGCCAGGCCCATGGCTACCGTGGGCCGTTTTGGGGCCTGCCCCCCCCCGGCTTCCTGCCAAGCCTCCCCCCGACTTCCATCCAGCCCCCAGGTCCACCTCCCCCCCCCGGCTCTCTGGGCCACCTGGAGGGGCTCCCCACAGCCACTTCTTCCCCCTGCAGAGGCAGGCAGAGTGTGAGTGCTGCAAAGGTGAGTTTTAAGAATTTTGTTTTTTAGTTTGTGACGTCAGTGCCCCCCCCCGACTTATTCAAAGGCCCCCGCAATGACAGGACCCTGGCGACGGGGGCCTGCGCCTTTGGCACGATACCTGGGGGGTTGTGGGCACAGACGGCGCCAACACTGCTGCCCGGCCGGGTGTCTTCCGGGACGGTGAAGTAGTACTGAGCCCGCTCGAAGCCGGGAGGTGAGACGGTGCCGGCCACAATGCTGATGTTGACCCGGGCGTTGGGCTGGGCGGCCAGCCCCCCTCCGTCCCGGGCTGCAATCTCCAGGTGCACCAAGGTGTTGGCTTTGCCCGCCAAGCTCCGCAGCAGAGATACGGCACCTGCGGTGGAAGAGGAAGGCAGACAGGCCGGCCAGGGTGGCATGCGGGTGCTGTGGGCAGAGTCTGGCAGGGAGGGGGACCGGCTCCCGCAGGGGGAGGCTGGGCAAGGGATCTGCCACCCGCCGAGCCTGGCAGGGAAGGGAGGGAGGGAGGCCCATGCCGAGGCCAACCACGGACAGCAGCCGCTCTCTGCCTCCTTCCCAGCATGCCCCTCTCTGCCCAGGCCACTCCCAGTCCTCTTACCAGTGTCCGGATGGATGGCAAAGAGCGAGGGGGTATTGCCAGCGGCAATCTGGTATGTCACGCGCCCAAACAGCCCTTCATCCTTGTCGTGGGCGCTGACCCGCAGCACGGCGGAGCCCAGCTGACTCTGGGTGCTGATGCTGGTGGCGTATTCCAGCGGGTAGAAAGCGGGCGCGTTGTCGTTGACGTCTTCCAGGAAGATCTTGATGTATGCCACAGAGCTGAGCCCGCCCTGGACGGGGTGGGGGGAGAGGAGACCCTCGACTCCAAGCTAGGGGGCAGCAGCCTGCCAGTGGTGGGCCAGCATAGGAAGGGCGGGCGGGTCTCAGCCACGCTCAGAAGACCCCCCCCAGCCCGGGAGTGTGAGGCCGCCGTGCCCTTCGCCCAGGTCCTGAACAGGCCCCTTGGGGAGAGCCTGGGGCCAGCCGCGGGCCTCCTTGACCACAAGCACAAGCCCACCCCCCAGCCAGGACCTTTGGCCCAGGGAGGACCCCCCTCCCCGGAGCCGCGTTCCCCCCCCCCCGCCGCGCCCCCCTTTTTTTGTCCCCCCCCCCCCGGCTGAGCCTGCTCACCCCGTCCACGGCGGTGACCGTGAAGTCGTAGGCGGCGAGGCCTCCGTCCCGGTCCAGGTCCCCCGCGGTGCAGAGCTGACCCGTCTTCTCCCCCAGGCGGAAGGCGGAAGGGGCAGAGCTGCTGAGGCCGGTGCCCAGCGAGTAGGAGACGGCGCCCAGGGAGCCGCTGTCGGCATCTGTAGCTGTGACCTGCGGGGAAGGAGGCAGAAGCACACACCCCGCCGAGTCCCGTGAGCACCTCTGCACACGCACGGATGAGCCCACCAC